TTGGGGAGCTGAATTTGATTAAGCTTCTAGCTCTAATCAGTTTATAGGAAACATGGAGGATAAAGGAACATGTTTAAATACACCACAAGAATACTGTCGGCAAAATCCAGAATGTGGAAAATCTACAGAATAATTTGCTTTCTTCAACAAATGAGTGGCAAAGAAAAAGAGGGAGGGAAGACATACAGAGTAAAAGAGACTCAGTTTTACGTGTGGATCTTGTTTGGAATCCTGACTCAAACAAACCAACTGGTGAGGGACAGATGTTTGAGAAAAATCAAGGAAATTAAACACTGTAAAACATATTGAAATATTCACAAATGAAATAATAAGAGATTTTGGATCTGCTTTAAAGTAATCCAGTGGGGTAGGAAGGAGCTTTGGGAGTATTAATAAGACAAGATTAGTCATATATTGATAGCTGCACAAGCTGGGTGACAGGAATTCATTTTACTATCATCTTTCGTATATGTTTCAAACAAATTTTGTATCATGAAAGTTTTTTTCCACAACAAACAGTGCTTACAACACTTAACTGACTTTCCACTGCCCTGAGTGAAAAGTTCAAATTCCTTATCTCAGTTTACCAAGAAAGTCTTTCATTATCTGGCCCCTGCTTCTCTCTCCCTCTCATCTCACTATTGTCCACCTCACAGCCTAAATTCCAGGACTAACAAGCTCCTTACTCTTGTCTCTTTCAAAAACATCTATTCCCTCTATCTCAAGCAGTTTCCCCTCTCCGCTTACATGGCTATTCTCTATTCACCATTCAGGTCAAAGCAAACCTACTTCCTCAAGGAAACCTTTTCTGATACTCCAAGACAGAGGCAAGCTGCCCACCTGTGTACCTGCCAACATCCTATTCTTCCCCATCACAGCTCTTACTTGACGTATACCCCGGCAGACTCTAGGCATCATGAGAACATGGACTACTCCCATCTTATTTACAGTTTTAACCCCTCTTCCCAGCACAGTGCCTAGCACACAGTACATACTCAATAAACATTTGATCATCAAAAGGTATGAACACCTGCTTTCTAGTCTTCCAATTCCTTGCATATCTGTATCTCCCTCAATTTTCTTTCCTTTCTCGTCTTTCTCTGTGATCATGATTCAAATAAATGGTTAGCTGTTTACACAGTGTTCCCAAATTTATATCCTTATCCCTCCCTGGGTATCTCAATTAATAAAAATTCAACTAACAGGGGACTTCCCTGATGGTCCAATGGTTAAGAATCCACCTGCCAATGCAAGGGACACTGGTTTGCTACCTGGTCCAGAAACTAAGATTCCACATGCCAGGGCGCAACTAAGTTCATGTGCCACAACCACTGACGGTCTTGTGCCCTACAGCCTGTGTACGCAACAAGAGAAGTCACCACAATGAGAAGCGCACACACCACTATTAGAGAAAAGCCCGTGAGCAACAACAAAGAACCCATGTGCCACAAGAAGACTCAGTACAGCTCACCCCCAAATTCAACTAACAAATTCTATGCTATAATCTAACAGATCTTCATCTCCAGGCCTGACTTATGGCTCCAAATACCTTCTGGATTCAATCTCCTGTTATCTCCCTACATGCCTTTACATTAAAAAAGCTCAGAAATTCTCGGTATCTTCTTAATGGACTTTATGTTCTCAGGTTTCCCAATTTGTGCATATTTCCCACTGCCTGAAATGCCCTTCTTGTCTTCTACCTTAAGTCTCAGCTCAAATGTCTCTCTAGCCTTTTTTAGGCAATGTTCCTACAGCAGTCTATTCTTATTTCTATTGTAGAATTTATCATACTTTTTTGAAATTATGTTTAGGTGTCTACTCTGCAAGATTTTGAGTTCCTAGATGGAAGGGACTCTCTCCTTCATGCTTTTATCTCCAGCATATATAGTAAAGTGAAAATGAAAGTCGCTCAGTTGTGTCCGACTAGTTGCATCTCCATGGACTATACACTCCAAGGAATTCTCCAGGTCAGAATACTGGAGTGGGTAAACTTTCCCTTCTCCAGCGGATCTTCCTGACCCAGGAATCAAATGGGGGTCTCCTGCATTCCAGGCAGATTCTTTACCAACTGAGCTATGAGGGAAGTCCATATATAAAGTGCCTATTAAAAAGTCCCAAATAAATGCTTCCTGAATAAACCACTGTTTCTAATAATTAAAAGACAGGAACATGACCTGAAAAGGTTGCCTAAATCTATTTTCTAAAGAAGGTAATCAATTTCTCTGTACTTGTATTAGACAGAATATCTACTAAACAGTTTTTCAAGAACTGAAAATTTACATAATATGAAAATAAAAGAAATGTAAAATAAAAAGACTATTCATTTCCAGAGGACAGGTTAGGGTCTTGGCCCAGGACCAAAAGATCCAGGTGAAAGTGAGGTTTGGGTGAAACTATTTAGTTCACAGCAATTCCCGTGATCTTTTCCAAAACCCTGAGATTATCTCAGTATCAATTTTTGGCATAGGCCAAATCTAAAGCAAGGTCAATCTAGTTTAGTTCAGGGTTTTCATGGCCACCCTAGAATAGACAGACCTCAACTACAGAGCCAGACCAGAGGGCAAATGATTTTGGAAACAAGGAATGGAATGACTTGCCATTTACTGCTCTGCTTAAAATGCTGTGCAACTATTCAGATAATCTTCCTGGAAGATGCAGCTCCAAGTTATCAGCCGCATGCAGATCATTAAGATGTACCTTCATCCTTCCAAATCCTAATGTACTGAAACAATGTCCAAGTGTACAGAATTCATTGCCAATATTCAATGTGTCTCCTACTTTCTCTTTAAGTGAATACTTATCCTTTACTCATCTTTACTGGACCTCCTTTAATTTGGCATTGAGTATCACCTTATTTTCACAAGATCATTTTATTTTACAATATTTTTCTGTTGTTTCTCTGCAAACAAATATTTTAAGACCAAAAAACAAGGGAAAAAAAGAAAAGAAAATTTCTAAGCATCCATTAGTGAGAAATATGATACCTCCTTCTACTGGCAAGCATGATGTTTTACAGTTTAATCTCAGAAGGGAGGATAAGTAATGGGAGGGAGAAGAAAGAAGCATAATGTAAAAAGCCATATTTAGCCAAAGACAAGGAGAAATTTGTCAAGATATTCAGAAACTAAAAGAGCAAGGAGGCAGAAAAAAGATAAGCCAAAGTGAGAAAAACAGGAAAAAAAGAAGATTCTGTCTGGGAGAGGAGTTCCCAAGAACCCCAGCTTGGGACCCCTCCAGTGTGGCCCTAAATTCAGACCCACACAAATTTGGGATTTGTAGGGTAACTTCATTCCACAGTGCCACTGAAATTACCTTGAATGGGCTGGAAAGGGTCTGTGGGACTTTCTGATTATCTTCTACTGAAACTTATTATTACTCTTCATCTATCTGAACTATGAGATTTCATAATTCCAGAGTTTTCAGGATATAATGTTCATTTGCCTCTCTTTCATAACTAACTAATCTTTAACAATGTATTTAAATTTCATTCAGGTTTGTTTAGTCTTTTCCGCCTTCAAAATCATGTAAAGAAAGGAAGTTGGTGTTGAAAGTTTTTACTTTTTACTCCTGTAGGTTTGTCTTTAGTAACTCAAAGATTGCATTTTTCTCATTCCTGTAGTGAAAGTGAAGTGTAAAGGAAATAGAAAGCCAGGTTATTTAGACTCCTGATAACACTGCTTACTGCTAGCTCTGTGACCTTTAGCAAATCGCTGAAAAGCCTGGACCCTCAGATTCCAAAACTGTAAGATGGGGATAATGAATACTTTATTCTGCAGTTACTGTGAGTAAAAAGAATCAAGGGAACCACCTGATTAGAATCTAAGCTCCAGAGAAAAGGAATAGTGAATATCTTGAACTTTGTTGATTCTCGCTCACATGCACACGCATGAGCACACACACCCACACACACCTAGCCTAAAGCAGTAATAATTAACACGTAGTGGACGCTCAATAAATATTTAAATTAACGAAAAAAATCAATACTAGTGTCCCCATTCCTCTCGTTGACATTAATCCTTCTTCCATAATAATTTTTTCCCTTCTGTCTTCTATTATTTTCTAAATGTTTCAGGACATTCTATTTTGTCGTTTGAAGGGGTTTCCTCCCTCTTATTGGCTATTACTAACTAGACACCATTCAGAGACAGTACCTTTGGAAGTAATTTCTCTAATTCCACCCACCTTCCATTTCTAACGCGTCGGGGGTGGAGCGAGAGTCAGAACATAAGATTCTCAGCAATTCATGGACCTTTCCCACAGTCACTGATTTGTGTTTAACGACACTGAAGCCCTTAACTCAGCCCTTCCCAGAATATAACTTTCAGGAGACATCGCACTATCCAGTCTCTCTTCGCTAACAAGAGGCTCCTGTGTATGAAATCCTCCGCTCTCAAAAGTTAAGGCATCGGTGACGCTCGCCCCCCGCTGAATGGACGAGAGTCCTGTGAAAGAGACTCAACTTGGGCAGACTGGAGGAATTTCAGGACCCTTCATGTTGAGCAAGAGCCAGTCACTTCAGGACCTGGCCAAGCTCGTCAGACCACTGCTCTAAGAAAGCAGCGCTCCTCAATCCCTGGAGGGAAGCTAAGGGGCGCGGCCGTCTACAGGGCCTGGTGGGGGACACTGTCAAGTCCATGATTAACATGTGGAAACTGCACGGACCCCGAGACCGAACCCTTCAAGCCACGACTACAATCATGCACCTACCTACAACCGCGCCCCCCTTTACCCCCCAACAAACACCGGACCCTAAGAAAGGAACACGGCTCGCCCCCACCCCATAAATCATACAACCGGTGCCTACTTATTGGCTGCACGAGCATCTCCTTCACCCTCATTGGCTATCCGGGGCGCAAAACCCTCCCCTACGAGGGAACCCTCCCGTACGGCGGCACCCCCATCCTAGCAACCTCTGCCGGGCTACCAAAAAGCCTGGCCCCCACCTCCACCCAGGAATCGCGACTCCCAGGGCAGCCGGGGCTTTGCCTCCAAGCACTTACTGTGTAGTAGGAGAGCAGCCCTGCATTGTAGTCCAGCACGAACCAACGGTACTGCCAGCCCTTCATTACGTTAGTCCATTTACTCAGCGGCCCTTCCATGATGGACGCCATCTTGGGAGCCGCCAATGACAACAAACGGCCTGACGTCACTCGCCTATAAGGCTTTCAACATTCGGTGGGCGTGGTCATCGCCGACAGGGGCGGGTCCAGGGCGGGGCCAGCAACTGCTTCCCGCCTGGGTGGACTCGCGGACCCACGCCTCCAGCTATAAAACTCAAAAAAAACACCACGATTTTCTTTCGGAGTCTGTTGTGTGTAGGACTCCGTGCCCGAAATGTGAAGAATTCAAGCATGAATACTGAAGTTAAGGTTACTTATTAACATAGATAATTTTACTGCCCATAATGATATCTTACACATTCAAATAATTTCACATCTGATATTCATTTAAGCAATTATTTCACAAACCCATTCATTTAATTAATATTTTTTGTTTTGTGCTAGATACTCAGGCTTGGGGGTTCAGCAGACTTCATGAGGCGAACAGGCAATAAAAAAATAGTAAATTATATAGTATATTACAATTTGGTAATTTGGAGAAAAATTAAGCAAGTAAAGAGGCAAAGGGTAAGGGGCTGCAATTTTAAGTTCCCAAAGGCCTGAGTGAGAAGGTAACTTTTGAGCAAAGACCTGAAGAAAGAGGAGGGAGGCTGGCAAAAGAACAGCAAGTTGTTCTTTGTAAGTAGAGTAGTGAGCAAGGAGACGGTAGTTGGAGACAAGGTCAGAGAAGTAAGAGCAGATTTCTTAGAGCCTATAAAGACAATGGAAGTATTGTCCTAGTATATTGAGACAATCTTTGAGATCCTGGCAATGCAACACTGAAGGAGACAAACAGATTCCTTCCTAAGAGTTAAGCACACTTAAATTCTGTGATGGAAAGCAAACAAAAAACAAGTAAACATGAAAAATATCTAATAGTGATGAATGCCTTGTGGAGAATTTAAGTAAGTGGATGTAATAGGAAGACAATGGGTAGCTACTTATAAAGTATATAATTGAGTGGTTGTGTAAGGCATCCCAGGAAAGGGCATTGAGATGTGAAGGATAAGAAAAAGGCAACTAAGAAGCAGGGCATTGCCTAGAAGTGGCTGTGAAGTCAAGGGAGAGGTTTTCTTTGTCTTTAATTTTTAAATTTTTTATTTTAGGGGTTTAAAGGTGTTTTGTTTATTCAGGTATTGTGCTGTGAATTCCTCCTATTTGCTGATAACAGAAGCTCTAGGAAAAAAAGAATATTACTGAAGGAGCTAGACAAGAGAACCTACTTACTAGCTAATCAAGTTGGGTGAAGATCTAAAGATCAAATTATTTATGCTTGATATCCTTATCTGTTTCATTGAGATATAATTGACATACAACATTGTATGAATTTAAGATGTGCATGATTTGGGAATTTCCCTGGTGGAACAGTGGTTAATGCCACACTCCCAATGCAGGTGGCGTGAGTTCGAGGATCCCTGGAAGGGAAGCTAAGATCCCATGTGCTGTGTAGTGTGGCCAAAAAAAACCCCAAAGATATGCATGTGTATATTGTGAAATGATTACTACACTACATTTAGTTAACTCATCACCTCACCTCAAAATTTTTTTCTTGTGATAAGAATTTTTAAGATCTACTCTCTTAGCAACTCTCAAATATATAATACAGTATTATAACTATAGTAACCATGCTTCACACTACATTCCTAGAACTTATTTATTTCATAACTAGAACTTTTAGCCTTTTGACCAACTTTTAGTTTCATGTAGTCCCTCTTGCTTATTTTTGCTTTTGATGCTTTGTGCTTTAGGTGTCATATCCAAAAAAGATCATTGCCCAGGCTGATTTCAAGAAGCTTTCTGTATGTCTTCTTCTAGGAGTTTTATGGTTTCAGGTCTTACAATTAAGTCTCTAACTGATCTTGAGTTAATTGTTGTGAATGGTTTAAAATAAGGGTCTAGTTTTATTCTTCTTCATGTGAATTGGCACTATTTGTTGCAAAGACTACCTTTTCCTTAATGAATGAGCATTCTTGGCTCTCATGTCAAATATATATGTGATTGTATATACATGGGTTTATTTCTGTACATTTGATTCTGTTCCATTGGCCTATACATCTGTTTTTATGGCAGTGTCATACTCTTTTGATTACTATAGCTTTGTGATATAGTTTGAAACCAGGACATGGGATGCCTCTAGCCATCTGATTCTTTCTCAGGATTGCTTTGGCTTTTCAGACTCATTTGTGGTTCCAAATGAATTTTAGGATTTTTTTTTTTCTACCTCTGCAAAAAACGCCACTGAAATCTTGAGAGGAATTTCACTGAATCTGTAAGAGGCTTTGGGTATATGAACATTTTGACAGTATTAATTCTTCTAATTCATGAACACAAAACATCTTCCTATTTATCCATTCCTTTTCCAGTTTCTTTCATTTATGTTTTATAATGTGTAGTATACAGATCTTTTACCTCCTTGTTTAGATTTATTTTTAAGTATTTTATTGTTTTTGTTGCTACTGAAATGATGTCCCATAGGGTTAACAGATGGAGAAGGAAATGGCAACCCACTCCGGTACTCTTGCCTCGAAAATCACCTAGATGGAGGAGCCTGGTAGGCTGCAGTCCATGGGGTTGCTAGGAGTCAGACACTACTGAGCGACTTCACTTTCACTTTCACTTTCATGCATTGGAGAAGGAAATGGCAACCCACTCCAGTGTTCTTGCCTGGAGAATCCCAGGGACGGGGGAGCCTGGTGGGCTGCCGTCTATGGGGTTGCACAGAGTCGGACACAACTGAAGTGACTTAGCAGCAGCAGCAGCAGGGTCAACAGAAGCTGGAGCCTAAATAGAAGACCTTGAGTGTGTCTTACAGAACAGCAGTTTATAACCTGCCTTCACTGATCAGGTCTGCTTTCAGTTTGTTTGATTTATTTTTCCCTTTCTTTAATTGCATACCCCCCAAGGTTAACATAGCCTAGGTAATATATCACCACACTTCTTCTCTTTTTAAAACATTTTTGTTTATTTATGACTGTGCTGGGTCTTTGTTGCTGCCTACAGGCTTTCTCTGTTTGCGGTGTGTGGGCTTCTCATTGTGGTGGCTTCTCTTGTTGCAGATCGTGGGCTCCAGAGTGTGCAGACCTCAGTGTGCAGACCAGTAGTTGCAGCTCATGGACTCAGCAGTTGTGGTACCCAAGCTTAGCTGCCCAGAGGCAGGTGGACTCTTCCCAGGTCAGGGATTGAACCATGTCTCCTGCATTGGCAGGTGGATTCTTTACGACTGGACCCCCAGGGAAATCCCACCACACACTTCTTAACACTCCTATAGATAACACTTCTGACATATGGATCACTATGGTAACAGGAGATTAAGTTGTTTTCCAGAAATCTGGAGTTGGTTCTTGCCCAGTTCAGACTGGCTAAGACTAGTGGGGACCGCTGACCCTAAAACTGGGCCTGCTCAAAACACTGATTACCTCACCTTTTCCTTACCTCCAATCACACTTCCTCACACCTAAAATCACCCTGCCTCTTTATCCCATAAACATCACAGACCTGTCCCCTTCAGGGAGACAGATCTGAAATTTGTTCTCCTGTCTCCTTGCTTGGCTGCCTTGTGAACAAACTCTTTCTTTACTGCAAAGCTTTGTGTTTTACTTTAGCTTTCAGTCAGGCAAACAAACCTCACTTGGTAACACTATTGTAAATGGAACTGTCTTTTTTGCATATAATTTATTGTTAGTGTAGAGAAACATTGGGGCTTCCCCAGTGGCTCAGAAGTAAAGAATATGCTAAGTGCAGGAGACGTAGGTACTATCCCTGGGTCGGGAAGATCCCCTGGAGAAGGAAATGGCAACCCACTGCAGTTTTCTTGCCTGGAAAATCCCATGGACAGAGGTGCCTGGTGGGCTACAGTCCATGGGGTTGCAAAGAGTCAGATATGACTTAGTGCCTAAAAGCAACAACAAATAGAAACATTACTGATTTTTGCATATTTATTTGTATCCTGTAACTTTACTGAATTTGGTGATAATATGTAACTTTTTTTGTGGAGTCTAGGATTTTCTGTATATAAAATCATGTCATCTGCAAACAGAAATTTTTACTTCTTCCTTTCTGATTTGGGTGCCTTTTACTTGCCTGATTTCTCTGGCTAAGACTTCCAGTACTATGTTGCATAGGAGTGATGAGATTGGGTGCCCTTGTCTTGTTCCTAACCCCTGAGTAAAACCTTTCAAGTTTTCACCATGTGGGAAGATGTTAGCTGTGGGTTTGTCATACATGGCCTCTACTATGTTGCAGTCTATTCCTTCTATACCGAATTTGTTGAGAGTTCTTATGATGAATGGATATTGAACCTTGTCAAATGCTTTAGGAAAAAATCATTTATTGTGATGATCTTATAATTTTTATTTTTCATTGTATCAATGTAATATGTCATGCTTATTAATTTACGTGTTGAACCATCCTTGCATCCCAGATATGAATCTCACCAGATTACTGTGTATGATTGTTTGAATCATACAGTTGAATTTGATCTGCTAGTATTTTGTTGATAATTTTTGCATCTATATTCAGAGGGATCTTGACCTGTAGTTTTTATGTTTTCTTGTTGTGGTTCTGGCTTTGGTTTTAGTAATATAATGCTGGCCTTGTAAAATGAGTCTTGGAGTATTCCCTTCTGTTTAGTTCTTTTTGAAGGGTTGAGAAAGATTGGCATTAATTTTTCTTTGAATGTTTGGTGAAATTCACCAGTCAAATCAGGAACAGGGATACTTCATCCATAGCAACAAGAGGGAGAGCAGAGAGTATGGATTCAAATGCCATGGATTTGTAGTTTGGTGGTAGAGAGATGAATAAGCATCTATCTGCTTTTAGTTGAGCTCAAAGCTTAGTGGTTAAGAATATGGACTCTGATGCCACACAACCTAGGTTTGAATTCTCAGACCCATCAGTTAATAGCTACATGACATTAGGTAAGTTTTCTCAGTTCTCTGTGCCTCTGTTTCTCCATCTTTAAAATGTGGATAATAAAAGGTTGCCTTCGGGATTAAATGAGCTCATATGTGTGA